TTTTTTTGGCTGCAAGTCTACTCTATGATTCCCTGCTAGCCTACCCGGCCTTGATGCGGTTCCTCAAGAATCTCTGCCGGAATCCCGGCCCTATGTCCATCTAAAGAACTATTCTAGCTGGCCCAGCTGGCCGCAAGTGTCGTATCCAAAAATCTTTGCTAGTCAGCCGTTGGCTTTGTTCGCTCTAAAAGGATCTCTGCTAGCCTGCTTGCCCGCCCAGCAGCTTCAAAGCCTGCCGCTGTAGCTTCCTAAATAATCGCGGCTGGCTGGCCCGCCCGCTACAAATTGCTCAGCTTCCTCTGCTAGTTCAGCACGTGTCCCAAAAGGGGGTAAAGGTTGCTTAACGGGGGGGGGGGAGAAATAACGGAGATGGAAACCATTTTTCCCCTATAGGGACTTGTCGTGCCAATTCAAACATGTCATCGGATAGAGCGTCAAAAATTATACTACCAGTCTTAATTTCAGCCCGAAATACCACAATTTAAAATTATTACTTTATTAAGCTGAAAAGTTTAATCAATTAAAAATCCTTAAAAACGAGGTTTTTGGACTGAAATTAAATCTCTAAGTATAATTTTCGACGCTCTATCCGATGGCGTTTCCAAAATAGCAGGATATTCTTTATAAATACAAAAACTGTTTTCACCCCAGTTATTTGTCCCCACCCCCCCCGTTAAGCAACCTTTACACAAAAGGGTCTCTGCTAGCGCGCGTAAATTCTCACCATTCCGAAATGCTTACTGCTAGCCAGTCTTTGTTGGAAGAACTTTGCTAGCGTGTCAGTCACACCAAAGAATCTCTGCTGGCCTGCCTGTTTTTCCTAAAATAACGGCCTCAGCCTGCACATACTTCCCCAAATGATCTCTGCTAGCTCCCCCGCCCACGTGGGCTGATCTCCGATCGGCAAGAACAATGTGCAGATCCCTATTTTCCGCCCCAGATGGCGCCAAAAAATAGAGAGAGTGAGAGAGAGGCAGAGAGAGAGAGAGAGAGAGAGAGAGCGAGAGAGATAGAGAGAGTGAGAGCCAGATTTTTCTGGCGTCAAGAAGACCGGAGGAAGCGATATGGTCGGTTCACCCCAAAAAAAGATCCTGGCTAATCCGATGTTTTACACGCCAGATTTTTGGCTAGACCATCTGGACGACTTCCGGTTCCGGCTGGGCCTCAATTTATCACAAAACCACATCACCTTGAGCTTTCGAGCCCTCTTAGTTTTGTAAAAACCTTTCCAAAGCTGTCCTCTGTACGTTTGTGTACCTGGACGTACGGAAACGTCAGGAAAGTGGAGTTTTTGGGCCAGTTCCGGGCTTATTAGAGTCCTGTCGGTTTCCCTAAAGGATCTCTGCTAGATTGCCCGACCAGCGAGGCGTAAATCGTCTCTGCAAGCTTGCTCGGTCCGGGCTCTCCAGCGATCTTTGATAGCATGCCAACTGAAAATTCCCAAATGATCACTGCTAGCCTGTCGGGCAGCAAGCTTTCCTCATGGCTCTCTGCAAGCTGGTCATTGTAGTATGATTTCTTGCATGTTCTCTGCTAATTGCCTCGCAGGCCAAGCCGACGAAACCTTCCAAATGATCTCTGCTCGCTTGCCTAGCCGAGCTCCCAAAGGTTTTCTGTTATGTACGATAAAATTCCTCAGTGATCTTGGCTAGCTTGCGAAGCAAACCGTCCTCCATGAATCCTGCTGGCTGACCAAAAATGAACAATCCTAAACGATCTTTGCTAGCTCGCGGGGTGACAATTTTTCCTGATTGCTCTCTGCTAGCGACATTCGAGTGATTCCTGAAAGAATCTCTGCTAGCCTGCCTGGCTAGAATGTCGTCTTCCTCAATAACCTCTGCCAGACCGCCTCAAAATTTTAAAGAGCTTAATAGCCCAGCCCTCAATAATCCCTGCTAGCCTGCCCTGTTTTTCTGCACTCGTTTTTGTGCAAAAATATTTACGGGAAGCCCAATTCCGGCCTCATTTACTGGCCAGGGAGGCCAATTTCGATACCCCAAGGCTATAAATCACCTACTTTACGGTGGCTTTGTAATTGGCATGAAATCGGGGCAATTTCATTTTTACGCGACCATTTCCGGATTGTTCCAGTGTACGCATGGACTATGATTTGAGTTTTTAAGCCCTCTCGCTCTCTCTCTATCTCTCTCTCACCCTCTCTCTATCTCTCTCACTCTCTCTATCTCTATCTCTTTCTCTCGCTCGCTCACTCTCGCTTGCTCTCTCTCTCTCTCTCTCTCTCTCTCTCTCTGTCTCTCTCACTCTCTATTTCTCTCCCTCGATCCCTGGCTCTCTCTTTCGCTATGTCTCTCTCTATATCATTTTCTCGCTTTAGATTCGCGGCAAGCGCAATCTTCCCCTGGGCCCGCTATACTACACTAGGCAGTATCGAAATGGTGCTACGGTAGGTGGCAAAATGCGCTTTAAAGGCGTTGAGACAGCTGAAAAATCGCCAAAAAATCAATCATCAAAATTTCTCTCCTTTCAGTCGACTGTTCTGCTTCCTCACCCTCCTTCTCCTCGCCGCGTGCACCCAGCGGGTATTTAGGGTGAGATTTTGTGAAGTTTAAAGGGCTGCCGAAGTGGGAAATCGTTTAGAAACATTGCATTAAAGAGGCATGAGGCATTAAATTCAAAAGTCAAAATAAAAAATTCGAAAAATCAATATTTATGGATTTTTGAGAAAATTTTGTGAATTTTTAGAATAGCTCGGTTTAGAAATCGTAGAAACGGCTGAATAAAAATTTTTAGTTAAAATTTTGGTCGAAAATCGGTAAATCGAAAATCGAAAAATCGATTTTTTTTTTGTTTTTAGCGAAAATATGCACCGTTTTTACGCTGAGGAGTCGGGAAAAAAGTTTATAAACAATTCCCCTATTTTTTTCTTAAAAAATTGGGCCTTAAGAATTGTCCTCCCCCGATAATGCCAAAGTACCGAATTGCCTAAAAACCTACTTAAACTGGACTAAAAAAAAAATTTGTCTTGTTCAGCTGGTCGGCAGTCCGGAACCGGTGGCTGATCTCTCCTCTACGAACCTGCAGACGTTGTTCTCGAGTGCACAGCGACAGTGGATGGGTCAACATGTGCCTGGTGGCCGTGATGGCGTCTCTGATCAGGTCCGTGATCAGCGAGTAAGCTACTTCTTCGACCTGTCGGTCTGCCTTGAAAACCCCCGCTCGCACTGTACTGCTCCCTTCGAAAGGAGCTCCGTCTAGCTTTCACGCTCTTAGAAAAGGGCGCTATCTTGCTGTGATGCTCCCTTCTTTCAAAGGAGCTCAAGCTCGCTGTCTCCTTGCTTTTACAAGCAACTGAGCTTACTGTCATGATCCCTTTAAAATGGGCTGCTTGATGTCACGGTCGCTTTAAAAGGAGCACTAACTTGCTGTCATGATCACTTTGAAAACAGCTCTATATTGCTTTCATGCTCGTTTTAAAGGAGTCATAGCCTGTTGTCATGCTTTCCTTTCAAGGAGCTCCATCTTGCTTCTTTAAAAACAGTTCCATATCGTTATCATGCTCCCTTTAAAAGGAACTCCAATTCGCTGTAACGCTCCCTTTAAAAGGCGCTCCGTCTGGCTAAGACTATCTATTGAGCTCCAACTTGCCGTCAAGCTCCCTTTAACACTGGACCCATCTTGCTGTCATGCTCCCATTAAGAACAGCTCCAATTAGCTGTCATGCTCCCTTTCAAACAAGCTCCATCTTGCTGTCATGATCCCGTCTAGGAGGAGCTCCTCATTGTTACCCTTTAAATCTAGGGACTCCCCTTTAAAAATGGCCCTATCTTGCTGTCATACTCCCTTGAAAAAGAGCGCCATGGTCATGCTCCTTTGAAATCTCACCAAATCCGGTTATCATTCCCCTGCGTTACATGCGATTTTTTCAGGTGCGAAAGCAGCTGTACTCCCGCAAATTCTGGTGATCATCTACCGGCCCGACGACGAGAGGAGGCAGGAAGGCGTCCACAAATAGCACCAAAAATCAGTCAAAGAATTCCCCGCTTCTTCTTTCCCTTCCCAATAAATATCACGTTTTGTTTATCCACCCTCACGTTGTCCCCCTGGAGATGCTCACCCCCGATTTATATTGCATGGCTATTTCGGCATCTCGTGGGAGAGGGAGCACATCAAAAACACACCAATGGCATCCTTAACGCAAAAAAAAATCAGAAAAAACCATAAAAAATTAGGAAATTAATTTAAGAAAATTTCCTGCATTTCCGTAAGGTGTCTCTGCAAGATTGCCCTCAAAATAACCCCAGGAAGAGCAGGTTTGGGGTACGCCAAGAATCCCTGCTAGCCTGCACTAAAACGCGTGGTTTTTTTACTCGTAAAGGTCCCATTTGACGTGCCCGCAGAATCCCTGCTGGCCTGCCCTAAAATTTAGCTTATTTACGCCCCCCAAAAAAGGTATGGATTCGGATTCCACAATGGTATTTGCTAGCTTACCTGCTGAGATTCAAGCGTTTTGGTCATCACGCTCGCTTCCTTCCGCAAGAATCTCTGCTAGCCTGCCTCGAAGGTGGCTTGTTTCCGCGCGGAAAAGTCGAGAATTCGGCTTCCACAAGGAGCTTTGCTAGACTGCCTTCAAAATCAACGTCTTCCTAGAAGAAAAGCAAGGTTGGTTATCTCTCTCACTCTCTCTCTCTCTCTCTCTCTCTCTCTCTCTCTCTCTCTCTTTCCCTTTCCCTTTCCCCTTTCTCTCTCTCTCTCTCTCTCTCTCTCGCTCGCTCTCTCGCTCTCTCTCCAATCTTTGGTAGTGCTTTATTCAGACTCGAAAACAGTCAGAAGTCAGAAAAGCGAGACATGTGCTAGGGGGGAGCATCAACAAGAACGGGACTGATCATCGGGGGAGCAAAAAATCACAGCCGAGATCGTGGGATTTTAGGGTTGTGCCAGAGCAAGCGGGGGAGGGAGCACGAGTGGCACGAGACGATGAGGTTCAGGTATCGATCGGTCTATCGGGGAGCAGGAGTTCGAGCTGGTCATCATCATCATCAGGCCGTCGCGGGGGTGGCGGCCGGGCTGGGTGGGACCTGAAGATGGAGAAAGATACAGAGAGCGAGAGAGAGCGAGAGAAAAAGAGAGAATGAAAGATACAGAGAGAGTGTTACAGAGAGAGAGAGAGAGAGAGAGAGAGAGAGAGTGAGAGAGAGCAAACAATCTACCTCCCCTCCTTGGGCAGGTGCCGGATGTGTGCCGTCTTCAGGATGTCCGGCGAGCGGGACATGCACTCTTCCCATCACCCTCGACGTCTCACCAGCCGACGATCCATCATCGCCATACATCTTGATGTACGAGGGATGGGTTGGGTGGACGCGGAACGCCTTCGGCCCCATCCGCACGACGTTGAACACGAAGAAGCCGATGACGACGAGCAGGGTCAGGTTGCCGTACAAGTAGCCCAGCCAGTTGGCCAGCGCCGGGAACTCGTAGTCTCTGGAAAAAGTGGGTTAAAGGAGTCTAGCGAATTCGAGCCGTTCAGGTTGTTTAGAGGCCACAAATTTGAAATCCAAGGTCTTCAAGGTGTTCAGCTAATTCGAGCAGTTCAGGTGGTTGAGAGGGACCAAAAGTTTGAAGTTGAGGGACTTCAAGGCGTTCAGTCAGCCCGAGCCGTTCAAATGGTTTCGGAAGTTTCAAAACTTAAAGTACAGGGAGTCTGAAGAATTCAGTAAGTTCAAGACGTTCAGGTGGTTCACAGAATTCAAAACGTTGTTTTCCAGGGTTCTCAGGTACAAAAAGTTCAGTGAGTTCGAAAACTTCGAGCTGTTCGGGCCAACTTAACAAGTTCTAGAAATGATGGAGGGGCTCAAGTTGAAGCAGTTCGGGGCTCAAATTAGGAATTTTCCGATCGAAAGAGTCTAGGTGTCTTCGTTTAGGTTATATATGGGTCGAAGCCCGGGGGCGCCGCCAAAGGCGCCCCCGAGGCACCCCCTGGGGGGCGTGCCGAGTGGCGCCTGGGGGCGCCGCCCCTATGATTTTTAACGGGGCGGGGGGCGTCACCAACGGCGCCTGTGAGATTATGCAAATTTTCTAGTCTAATTTTAAGTACTCATTTCAAGCGCAAGAGCGACGGACAGTAGAGAGAACCTGCAAATAACTTTTCCTCTTGCACTTCAGAACAGCCCATCAACGTAATAGTCAGCCTTTTAATATTGTTTTTAGTAAAATTTAACTATCTTTTAAGTGGAAAAAATAAAAAATTGGAAGGAATTTTAGGCGGAAATTTCGAAATTGGAAGTGAGATTGGAAATATCGGCAATTTTTCGCAGAAAAATCTATATTTTTCTGTATTTAAGTCACAGTTGGTAAAGTTTTTACGTTTAAGAATAATAACAACAGTTTGGAAAGCTTCCACTATTTCTTTTAGAGGAAAAGGTCCTTAGAAAAAAGCTGGTCCCACATAAACACCCCCTTCCTCTACAATGCGAAAGGATCGGGGAAAAATTATAGGCCAATCAACTAATAGTTTTTGCCTTCTTTGATATTAAGGATCAGCAGTCAATTTTGATTTCCATAACAAACACCGCATCTTTACTTTGCATCTCGGTTTTCCGGCGTCTTTTGGTCAGCCCCAGGCGCCGCCACAGGCGCCACTCAGCACGCCCCCAGGGGGTGCCTCGGGAGGCGCCCTTGGCGGCGCCCCCGGGCTTCGACCCATATATAGTTTAGGTGCTTATGAGTGCTACCACGAGTTCAGCAGGTTCAAGGGTTTTGTATAGAAGACATGGTTACGATAGTGCGAACAGATTTGTTAGCGGAACAGGTCCAGCAAGGTCATCATCGTCGTCAACAACAACGCCGAGCAGCCCAAAAAACGCCGTACTTGTAGGCAAGGCTGGGCGGTGTCGACATCTCGTAGAGCAGCACGGCACCCCCCATCAGCGGCGTCACCTTCCACAGGGCCCAGAACAGGTAGCCCGACTTGCCGACGAACGTGCTGAAGATGCCGGCCTTTCCCCAAAAAATGCTTGGCCGTACGTGAGCATGTTACGCGGTGGGCCGAAGGCGGCCTGCAGGTCGTGGCGCATTCGGCCCCATCCCGGCGCCTCCAACGGGTTGGTGCTGAACGAGCCGAGCGCCTCGGCAATGTCGTAGTAGTGGGCGATGAGGAGGAATTCGAGGAGAATGCCGACACCGAGAGCGATCCCGCCATTGCAGTCGTCCATCAACTGCACCATGTAGATGCCCGCCTGAAAGGGGTAGGCTAGCAGAGATTCTTTGAGGAATTGGAGGGGATGGAGGGGGCAGGCTAGCAGAGATTCTTTGAAGGACTCACATTAGTGCACTGAGTGACAGAGCCGAGGAAGAGAGCCAGACAGACGGCTCCGGTGATGTGAGTGGCGTAGCGGCGGAAGCTTTCCGATGAGTCGACGATGCACGTGATGATGGTCAGCGTGTCAACTGGAATGTTGTGTAGTGGGCGAGAAAGAGGGAGAGAGAGAGAGAGCGAGAGAGAGAAACCCACCGACAGCCGTCGACAACCCGAGGAAGGCGAGCATGATGAAGAAGAGCAGATTCCACAACCATGGGTAGGGCAGGTTGGACATGGCCTCCGGGTAGGTGATGAACGTCAGGGACCATCCTCAAAAAAATGGCTCAGCACCTCGCCTCGAACTTGCCGGTGACGTCGAGCTGGTCGAGCGGTATCTGGGTCGCGTAGGACAGATGGCCGAGCGTCGCATAGACCGCCGAACCGCCGATTATCGACATCAACGAGTCGGCCAGCACCACGATCCAAGCGTCCTGAAGGAGTACAGGGTATGGCAATAAAAAGTACCCGAAAAGAGTTGTGATCCGGGCGGTTGTAGGAGGCCATCGTGTGCAGGCCACCGTAGCCGACCGTCAGGCTCATGCAGCACTGGTAGAGGGCGGCGCGCCATGTCTGAAGTCCGATCGGGAGGGTGACGACGTGTTCGGCAAGTTCACTACCGAGAGGTCGGCCAGCTTGTCGAAATTGGGGACCAGATACGCGTACAGGCCAATCTCCATGCCATCAAGGAAGAGGCTACGGATGAAGAAGGCGCCTCAAAAGCGAGAGATTTGGAGAGAGGGAGAGAGAGAGAGAGAGAGGGAGGGAGAGAGACTTACCAACGATAAGGTACGGCACCGGCGTCGTGATGAAGGAGGCCTTTCCCATACTCTTCACCCCCTTCCACAGTATCAGAAACGAGACGCCCCATAGGAAGGCCATCGAGACTGCAAAAGGACGATTCGCTTCCTCAAAGAATCTCTGCTAGCCTGCCCACTCCATTCCCTCCAATTCCGCAAAGAATCTCTGCTAGCCTGCCCTCTCCATCCCCTCCAATTCCTCAAAGAATCTCTGCTGGCCTGCCCCATCCCCTCCGATTCCGCAAAGAATCTCTGCTAGCCTGCCCCCTCCATCTCCTCCAATTCCTCAAAGAATCTCTGCTATCTTGTCCCTTGCATCCCTCCAATTCCTCAACGAATCTCTGCTTGCCTGCCCCATTCCAACCGTCAAACCCCAACAAAAGCGGCAAAAAAACTTGGAAAGCTTCACGAATTTGCGTGTCATCCGGCCTCATCTCTGTATTGTTCCTGGAATCAACGGAACCTCGGGAAAGGACCCTCCTTATATACCCCCCGCAACTGAGTGGGCCAGGTGGGGCACGTTTCGGGGACGAAAGAGGCTGGTGCTGGTCAGTCTGGCCATGGACCTCCAGAATATTTCGCGCAGGCTGGCAGCAACCATTGGGGAATTGGAGACAGGCTAGCAGAGGCAGGCTAGCAGAGAACATTAAGGAATCCTTGGCCCCGTAATGGCAAATCACGAACAAAGCAGCTGCCAGTTCATCATCGACGGTTCCCTGGGTATCTCCTCATATTCCTTTGTCCCTGTCCAACTCGGGCCGGCGAAGCTGAAGATGCCCTCGGAGCGTTGCAGCACGTAGCGTCTGGAAAATTGGTCCAGGATCGATAGTAATTTGTGGGGTCCAAAAATTCAGGAAATAGCCCCACTCAAAAAATTCGGACGTTGGGATCTGGATTTTCTCGCGGATGGCCTGGAGTTTGGTGGCGTTGCCGTATTCGCAGTTTCCCTTGTACATCACCACCCCGCCCTCTTGCCTAATACGTTCCTCGTCTTTACAAAGCCTGGCTGTTTCGAACGGGGACACACAGTCTGAAAATGGGGGGCTTTGAGGGAGATAGCGGTAGCGAGATAGGGTGAGAGAGAGAGAGAGAGAGAGAGAGAGAGAGAGAGAAAGGTATAAACGAGGGAGAGAGACAGAGAGAGGGGGGAAGAGAGGGATAGACAGCGAGACAGAGAGAGCGAGAGAGAGAGAAAGGTATAAACGCGGGAGAGAGAGAGCGAGAGAGAAAGAGAGAGAGAGAGAGAGAGAGAGGCAGAGAGAGATGGAGAGAGAGGGGGAAGGGAGAGAGATACAGGGAAGAGAGAGAGCGAGAGAGAGAGAGAACGAAAGAAAGAAGACGTACCGACAGTATTCCACGGGTTATCGCATGTCGTCCACTTATCGACGTTGCCGCTCAAGATGCTCTGGCTGGAATTGGTGAGATTACGCCATTTTTGTGTTCGACTTTAAATGCCTTTAAAAATTTGTAGTCTTTACGTTCAGAATAGTAAAAAAAAGTTTTGAAACATTTCCGCTGTTTATATTTACAAAATTTTGATTTAGAAAAATTCCTAAGAAAAATTTTGTGTTTCTTTTGTTTTGTATTTTGAAAGGATTTCGTATTCCTCCGGGATCTCTGCTAGCCCGCCTCTTGAACCTCCACAAAAGACCGACATGTAGACGAGGGACCAGCCGACGATGATCGGGTAGTAGATGTTCACCTGCTGGCTGAGCAGCGCCATCGCCCAGCCGATTCCTGGAAGCTCTCCAAAAATCTGCAACCTCGGCGCACCTTGAAAGGCGGGCATGTAGCGGAAGAAGACCTTGTTGGCGCCGGACTGGGTGAACTGGCCGATGAACGACTAGAAAATGTCGTGTTTAACGGGATAGCTAGCCGAGATTCTTTGGGAAGACGATTCGTGGCAAGGCTTTAAAAATCAGCCTCAACTTGGTCCCAAAATTTAGGCATTTTAAAACTTTAAAAAATAGTATTGAAACTTCAAAATTTGGCCAAAGTTCGCCCATTTTTTGATGAAAAATCTATAATCAAACCTTTTTTAAAGTTTTGTGTTTAGAAATAATAAAAAACAGTTTAGAAACTCGGAATCAACAATATTAGCAAAAAAATGGGATATTATTGATGAAATTAATTTTATTGTTAAATATAATTTTTTAAATTAAACACTGAAAGATGGTCAGCTAGCAGAGATTCTTTGCGGAAAATCTAAAAAACACGCAAAATACCTCGAAATAGAACAACGGCATGCCGAAGAAGACGAGGCACGTGAAGTAGGGGATCAGAAACGCGCCTGGATGCGTCATTTGTAGCATAGCGCAACATCTGGAACGTACCACCCCCGTTCTCCCAGGCGACGCGCGGGAAGCGCCACAGATTGCCGAGGCCGACGGCGTACCCGATGGCCGTCATCAGGTAGTGGAGGGTTGAGTCGAACTGCGGCCGCTCCTCCGTCGTCGTCGCAGTGTCCACTGGAAAATCGAGCGGTTTTTAAAGGGGCTCTTTCACCTTATCGGGGGGGGGAGCTTTTTTAAGCCCATAAATATCTAATAACATAGTATTAAATGTTTTAATGGTATTTTTAGTAAAATATAGCTATATTTCAAGCAGAAAAACAAACAATAAACTTAGAAAATTTGTTAGGTGACATTTTGATCGCAGAAACCGAGGGAAAAAGAATTTTACCCCCCCCCCCAGCCTGCCGCAACTTTTGTAACTTAGCTCCTTGTTCATCTACAGGTGTGTAAAGTATACCAAAATGCTCGCCAGAGCAAGACGAACATTTTGGTATACTTTACACACCTGTAGATGAACAGGGAGCCGACATACGGAAGTTGGGGGTATCTGAAGTCTTACTGTTTTTTACAATTCCTAAACGGAACTTTACAAAATTTGATTACAACATATCAAAATACCGATTTGGCGATCAAACCGGCGGTTTCTTGACCAAAATTCTGACTTTTCGATGAATTTTACGGTTTTACTACAGTTTTTCTAGTTAAAATATAATTTTATTTACTAAAAACATTACGAAAATAATTCCTAATAAGTTCCCGAAAAAAAACCAACTCTGCGAGGCGGGTTTGGTCTGCGACACGGTGCCGGTGCCCTCCGGGGCGCCATCCGTGTTCGGCGCCGTCGCGTCGCCCATCTAGTCGCTGCTAAATTCCAGAAAATAGGCTACAAAATACAGAAAGAGACCAACCTGTGGGTGCGCGCGGAATGAAATGAATTTATGGAAGTGAAATTTTGCAAAAATACTTTCCAGCGCATGTTGATTGAGGTTTCCCGAAGCCGGCCAGATTTAAATTTTTCGATGCAAATATTTCCGGTCTGTTCTGGCCTGCGCGCGTCGTTCCAGCCAGGGTTGGTCACAATGATCGGGAGTCCGCGTCCGTTCGCGTCCGTCCGCGTCCGGACCGATCCGGACGGGTCCGGACGACAGAGTTCGCCGGACAGAGTTCGCCGGACGCCGGAAGGTCCGCGATGCAAAGCACAAAAGCGGAGGCTAATTCAGGTGTCCCTGGTTTAGGAAAGCGCAGGATCATAATCTGACTTGAATCCTTGATGTTGACTTAGAATAAAACACAAAAATCGCTGTCACTGCCCAAGGGAAAGAAGCGTTAAAAAGTTGGAGCAAACGAAAAGCTTTGAGATTTTAGTTCAATGTTCCATTGTTCTTGAGGTTTAGTACTAGTGTTTTCGTTTCCGACTTGCTTTTGGGTGACTATTTGGACAACTGACAATTATTTTTTGTCATAACCCAAGTCAACACGAAATATTCAAATTAGGTCTGTGGTGATGCGCCTTCCTAAGCCGCAGACCATTGAATTAACATGGTTATCTGCACTTTGCATCGCGGACCTTCCGGCGTCCGGCGGGCTCTTTAGTGTCCGTTGGGTCCGCGTCCGGACGCGTCCGTCTGGGTCCGGACCCGTCCGCAATTTGCATACGGGTCCGGACCCGTCCGGACGCGGACGGACGCGGACGGACTTTCGATCATCATGACCAACCCTGGTTCAGCCGTTCTCTAGCTTGTTCCTCCATTGGCCCCTTTTGAAGGGTGTATCAGAAAAAAGTGACCAAGTTTGTCCCCAAATATCTCGAGTAGGAAAGATCTTTCACAATACGTTGCCATGCCAGAATGCTTTAATCGGAAAAATCAACTGTCGCGATGCGCTTGACCTTTCTGTGTCTTGCCCCCAATGCGGACAAAAACCGGCTTTTTGTAGCGTCTCCACTATCAATCGGTGCAGGTGTAGTCTTTTCATTAATGCAACAGCGCTGTAGTTCGGAGGGCAGCGGTCAATACGGGCGGCAAACTTCTCGTAGCAGATCGGATTTCCAGTGCTATTTCGGGCAATCTGCTGTTTTGCGGTTCGATCCACTTTTCACCTCTCCCTGCTTTCGACCAATCTCAATCAATTTTTAAAAATCCTAAACTTTCTTAGCTTTTTACGCTACAGACATTTGTTTCATCTGTTAAAGATGGTGACTGTACTATAGGGTGTCCCCAAAAAAAACCCCTACCTAGCGGTCTGATTTCTACGATTTTTGGTATCTATCGGAAAGCCCTCGACGAGCCGAGGAGATATGTTCTTTCTGATTGTCGAAATTCCCGAATTTTTCGCGCGATTGTCGGCTTTTTTCATGCCAAAGTTACCCGATTTTTTTTAAAAAAAACTCGACTTTAAAGCCAATAGCAAGAAAAAAGAAAAAGGTGTCGGTCGGCTGTCGCAAAAGGCGTGAATATTCACAAATGTGAGTGTAGGTGATTTAAAAAAAAATCCTGGATCCGAAGCTTCAAGAATTCGCTCAATTTCGCAAAAATATTAGTAATTGAAAGAAAATTCCGGAATTTCGAAAATCGGAAAACACATATCTGCTCAGCTTGCCTTGGGTTTTCAAGTAAAAATATTTTTAGCTTCGTAATTTGAGAATGCGTGGTCCACAAACCACCCTTAAAAGGACCTAAACCTAGAATTTCGAAATTTCAAACGCCCATAACTCCTTATTTTGATGAGAACTTTCTAAGCGGCTATGACAGATCGATAGAGATTTTTTTTTCTACAAATTTCTCATGGCTCCCAAAGGTTTGATACCTTACAGACAAAGTTATGGGCAGAAAACAATGATTTCCTTTCCAATTAAAATGGGGAGGCCGGCTGCACGGCGGCCCGGCGTCGATGGGCGCCCCGTGTACTTAAAGTGCGCCCTGGGGAGCCGTGGATAGCTACATCCCTAAATCGTAAAAACCGGACTCGCTTCCGGACCGCTAGGTAGCGGGTTTCTTGGGACATCCTGCAGAAAGCCTGCCTCTACAAATACAATGTCCGATCGCGAATGCGTTGACACCAAAATTGGTTTACGTTTAATTACGTAAAATTCCCGCCTTGCTAGCAGGAATGACCCAGGTGCGTATCCCTTGATATTTTCCAGGTAGATGCGACTAGACGCGTTGCCAGCCGAACTACAGAATTCAGTGTTTGATCACCTGGAGCCGGATGAGCTCATTGCCGTGCACCGAACCACCAAAGCTTTACGGTAATTTAGAAATTTGTTGAGTTCCTCTGATCTTTGTTTCGTTCTTGATTTCAGGAAAAATCCCCCGATTCCGGGTAAAATCCCCGATTCCGCGAAAAATCCCCGCTGCCGGTATAGAGCCGTGAATTTTCCTACAAGTCCACAAATCGATTAGCAGTATTTTAATAGTTTTTTTTTTTGGTTTTATGATCAGGGGAGGGGGGACTGAACCTTTTTGTATAAGTCTAGAAATACCTAATGGCTTAATAGCCAGTGTTTTAATAGTGCTATTGGTAAAAAATAACTAGAAAAACTATCTAAAAGCTCTAAAAAATTCGAAATCTTGATGAAAAATAGCCACTTTTGGTCGAAAAATCGATATTTTTGGCATTTTTTAATAAAATTTTGTGTAGTCTTCACGGTTGGAATAATACCATTTAGATATTTTACCGCGATTTATTTTTTGAAAAACGTGTGCTTAAAATGGTTGCTTCCCACCGCCCTCACTATTTCGAAAGAACCGTGTTTTTTCGTGAAATGTGATCGTAATTGGAAAAACAACCCAAAAACCAATAAAATTTTAGGTTGGCAATTTCCTCGAAAAAAAGCGATGCTTGGTCAAAAAATCCGTTATTTATTTTGTTTTTGTTTACAGTAGTAATCCTAGCTTTGTTTTCTTTTTTTTAATTTCGAAGCACCAATGACCGCTTTCCAGACGCCGCATCAACGGGCGAGGGCTGCTGCCGGGCCGTGTCGCCGAACTTTCCCTTAATGGGCTCTTCGTTCCCGGGCGTTCCGAGCAAGAGGTATGATTTAACAGAAATCTGACGCGTCACGAGAGTTTGCCACTTTAAAGTGACGGACACATCGTTTCCAATAGATTTTCCGATGTCAGGGATTTCTTGAATTCGGCCAGCCGTAATACAACAGCAAAACCCTGTGCTCTAGCTTTAGCGCCTGGTCTCCGGCGCTGACTTCCTTTTTTCTTGCTTTAAAGGGATCGGGAACGCCCATGTAGATCAGGGCTCATCTACAGGGTGTCCCAAACCCCCCCCGCCTCGGCATTTGGCCGTCTTCTATTCGATCGAGACCAAATTTTTACCAGCGATGGATAACCATAAAAACTACGTGCAGCCGAATTTCCAATGCAAAATATTGTAAAATACGCTTGTAACAAGCAGAATACCATGCGGGATGCAAAGAGCAAAAACCTGAATTTTTACGCAAGAATATAATATTTTGCTTATTACAAGCGTATTTTATGATAGTTTGCATTGAAAATTCGGCTGCACATAGTTTTTATGGTTATTCATCGCTGGTAAAAATTTGGTCCCGATCGGATAGAAGACGGCCAAATGCCGAGGAGGAGGGGGGGGTTGGGACACCTTGTATAATTGCCAATTTGCCAGTCAGAAATGCTAATGCAAAATACGGAGTAGAGAGTAGGTTTGATTCTTTTAATCCCAGAGGGAGCAGAGAAGATTTATGCTAATTTTGAAGTTAAACCGGGTTTATGCTTAATCTAGCCGGGCTTCCTGATCGCTTTAAAGGGGCACAGAAATGCAATTCATGCACGTTTGGTAGGGCTCTTTGATTCCTAGCAAATTGCCAACGACCGCTGCGGGACGAGAGCCCTCACCTTTCGACCTTTGCCCAAAACTGTTCTTGCCCAATTTCTTTGTGAAAACTCGATCTTCGCAGATTCTAGCTCATTTCTAAAATCCTCCTGAATTTGTTTTTGATCTGGTTTTTGATCATCAAATTTGGCCCGGCAACCGAGTGACCCTGGAGGCGGCCACAGGTATTTTCCAATTCCCGAGCTTACCGCCCCGTGGATGCGCAAAGCCCTTCGATGTACAGGGCTCCGATTTTCGGGCCGTAACTCAATTTTGACAGTTGCGTACGCCTTTAAAACATAATCATGTTCTGACGAATTTTGTACGGAACGATACTGCAACTTTCAGCTGGGCATGCCGTTCGTCCAGATGTCGGTGCAGAGCCGTGGTGGTGTCGTCATTGCTGTCAGCTATCCACATAACCGACTGTATCACACCCTAGATAAAATGTACGCAAGCGTAGCGTGAGTTTGAAAAATACCCGCTTCTTCAAAACCGTGTCAGGTTTTTTTAAAACAAGGTTGCCTGGGTCATTTTGGTTTTTGCTTACGCCGATTCTTATTCGTTAACTCTTCTTAATGTTTTTCCTCCTTTCGGCAAAGGTGTTCGTGCGAACAAAAAGAATGACCAAAATGACCATGGAAAATTTTCATCCCCCTCCCCCGAAATATATTAGTCCTGGAAAGTCCGATGGCTGCCGGCAGCTCGCGATAATGTTTTTTTAGCATCGCGGCGGACGCGGAAGAACCGGGCTATCCAAACGGGACCCACAAATTTGGTCCCACCTTGAAAACACCGATGAGGTTAGTTGCTAATTGATAACATCAGCGGATTCCCTATCACCTGTTCGAAAATCATCTGTTCGAAAATCACCTGTTCGAAAATCATCCGTTCGAAAAATCATCTGTTCGAAAATCATCTGTTCGAAAAGACATCTGTTCGAAAAATCATCTGTTCGAAAAGTCATCTGTTCGAAAATCATCGGTTCGAAAATCATCTGTTCGAAAAAACA